TCACTTTCCTGGGATCCAGCTTCAGGTCTCTGTACCAGTGCTCAAAATCTCTGGGCACACTAGGAGACACAAGAGGTACTTAGAACACCAAGAGATGCCGGCTTGGATGAAAGATAGGCACAAGGATGCAGGTAACATGCTTGTAACAGGGAGCTTGGGTTAAGCCTCACTCACCTGACTGGCAATGCCCTTAATTGTCAAATAACACATTGCTATGTTTAACCCAAGCCCCTCTGTTGCAAGCATTCTACTTGCATCCCCATGTCTGTCATCCATGCCAGTCTTTAGCCCGCATTGTCCCCAGTGCCTCCTACTGTGCCCTGTGTGCCCCCTACTGTGCCCTGTGCCCCCATGTTTTCAAATATGCCCCATGTGTCAAGTGTCTCCCAGTGCACCCTTGTTTCTCCAAGTGCTTCCTTTGTCCCCAAGTGTGCCTTCATAACACAAGTGTCTTCACAATTTCTCCAGTATGTTCCTGCAATCTCCGAAACTGGCCTTCTTCCAGTGGATACAAACCTCTGTTCCCAGCACCTCTCAGACAGTTGTCCTAGAACAAGTGTCCCAGTTTGGAAGACTTATTCCTGCTGAGTTGAAAACTTCAAATTTTACATTGTTCCTCATCTTTGCTCCAGTTGACAATAGTCACCAGGACAAATAAAGAAAGTGAATTTCTAGTGGAAATACAGACAGAATTAAAGAGTTGACAGGGGTTTCTCATCCTTTCCTATTCTATCCGAAACTAAAAATAAAATTATTAGTTTTGGGTTTAGCTACACTTAAAAGCAAACCTTCATTAAAAACAATGAATTGAACATGTGCCCTCCCCATAAAGTGTAGGCCACCTCTTGTTTGCTGTGTAGTGACCTTCTACTCCTAAACCTTTCTGTAATGCCCACATTACTCATTTATGATTGATTTCACTAGCAGTGATTGCAAGAACGACTGAAATATGGAGCGGCTCACCACACTTGGATACTGTTGATTGATCTTTAATACCAATGGAAAAATTGATCAATCCACTAGTTCTTTGTTTAATTGATTGGTACCTGTGATTGGTTCTCTGGCATTGAGCATGGACGTTACACAAAATCCATAAGGAATAAGAAATAATGGTTGAACTAGATGGACTATTTTTTTTCAACCTGACTATGTAACTATGAAAATAATTGATTCATTTTTTATCGGGTCTCGGTTTGTATGTGATTTGATCTGTTTGGTCACATCAATCAGAATTACATGAATATTGAATGATAATGATGATTCATGTGTTCCAACATAATACAAACATGGTCCAGTTTCAGTTGCTGGCTCTGGTCCACTCCTTTCCACCTCATAATCTCTACTATTGGTTAGTGGAGCATTCCATTCCAACACAGGAATGGGCCAGTAGTAAGGTACATTAAGTAGGAGGAGGTGGTCCAGAGACCACATGAACTGAATGATGTCTGTATTTCAGCCATCAGTTTTGGGGGCGCTGAGTTTTATCAAAGGTCAAGTTCAGATACCTCAATGTGCCTGCAATTCAGTGAGTGTCATTTTTTTTTATTGTAAGCGCACTTGGATTATGGTCTTTTTAGTGTATTGTTTAAAACATTTTGATATACATTTTAATCAATTTTATAAAATAATCTTAATTTGCATTAAATAATTTCTGATTACCCCAGCTTACTCTGTATTCTGTGTGCAACTGGTTAGGATGCTGCCATCTTGGAGTGAGTGCAAGCTATTTAAATCTATTCAAAGCACAAAGCAAACCAGCTGCTCCCATAAAGCTCCACCTGCTGGGTGGTAAACATTAACATTTCAAATTCATTATTTCATACTTACCTGATTAATAAAGTTAATATAAATACAGTTTTAGCACTAAAGAAGCTATAGTTTGTCCTTTTGTTTAAATAACCATTATAGATTATATTCCAAAGGGATTTCAAGTGAGAAAAAGCTAGGAAAAACCTTTTTAGACATGGCAAAAAGTAATGGTAATGATTCCTGCTCTTTGATGCTCACGTTTCTTGGCATTTTAGAGCTATTGGCTTTCATAATTGCAGGAGAAAGCCAATACAACACATCCAGTGGAAATGCATGCCTCATAATGGTCTTAATGACAGAGGTCCAAAAATCGGGGCCACCCCTTGGCCATTACTGTGGGGTTGATGGGTTTCCCTCATCTACTTTTCTCTACTTGTGAAGATCCAGTTATAGAAACTTAATGCTGAACTTCAGATAAATGCATTGTTGAAAGTAAAAAAAAAATAATAACAGTGTATTGTGATGTTTGGGGAATTCACTCAATGGTGTAGACTAGAGCCTTTATATTGAGTTCACGTCAGCCAGGAATGATGTTTCAGGGCTTGATGGCCCACTTTTATTTAAAATGAAAAAAAGTTCTTCAAAACAAATGGTTACATTTTCAAAGGGCTTCCACCATCACTTCACATACAAACAGAAATTACATTAGCTTCCTGGCTCGCTCTTGCAGCACCATTGTTTGGCGTCAAGCTCAGAACTTTGCTTGGTCCCTCAGACCCTTATACAGCACCAATGTGCAATTGTACACATCTGTATCTCTCACAGCTGCTTGCTGCACTCATTTGGCTCACTCCCACCCTGGCTTTGGCAGGGGCCCTCTCGTCTACCAGGTGGAACCCTGAACTATGGCCAGATCCCAGATTATAAAGGCTATCTCAACAGTCCTGAGATTTACACAGCTCTACTTCAAAGCACCCCAAAAGAAGAAAAATAAAAACCCCAAGAGACACCGTGACTTTAATGTGATTTGATATAAAGCAGCAAGAGGATGAAAAAATCCGAGAGCTCACTGGCTTAGGTTAGGCTGCTCACAACAGACAAGAACACCCTCCAGTGGGTACCTCAGCAGGTTACCAGGTAAAAAAATGCACTAATAGCGCCAGACCAAAGAATAAAGGAGTACAATATCATTTATTAGTTTATACTAAAACAGCCAACGTGTTTCAGGGGTCAGAATGCATTCCCCCTTTATCAAGGCTACAACAAAACTCAATATAATGTAAATGTAAATGTGGCTGATAAATTAATAAGTCTAACAATAAAAGAAAGTCAATCCATGATTGTTAGACTTAGTTTTCGCTCAGCTCTGAGCAGAGAGCGGTGACTGACAGTCCACTCTCTGCTCTGCCCCTCTATTGCTATTGCTAACTGGAGTACTACTGGGCAGGGGGACTTTTCTAATTCTGTTTATACATCTGACAGAGGTTTCAATCAAACAGAGCTAGCCTGAAGGCAGGCAACTTCTGCTGTGTTCTCTTTAGAAAAATGATAGTGCACTTTTGTTATGTATTAAATGCTTATTTTGAAAGTCATAGCCACTGATAATAATAGCGAATCTCTTGAACTTCATTAGATTACAGTGGCTGTAAAAACTCTAGTATTTTTACCTTAATGCATAAAGGTAAAAAAACCTTCTGTGTGCAGCAGCCCATCCCCCCCTTCAATTCTTGCCTGAGCCCCATCATGATCCAGGGATGTGTACGAGAGCCAATGAGGAGAGAGGGGGGCGGGGCCAGGCCATGGGTTTCTATATGTGAATGGACATGCAGAGCAATGGCTCAGGAGCAAGCCTGCTTGGGTGCCCCCATAGCTAGCTGCATGCTCTGGTAGCACTTGGCAGGAGGGAGGGACAAGGAGTGCCAGCAGGGGTCGAAAAAGTGGAGGGTTGGGGCTGCTCTGTGCAAGACCACTGCACAGAGCAGGTGAGCATGACATGTTTGTTACTTTTAAAACATGAAATCCTAGCCTTTACTATCACCTTAATCAACAGTAATGCATAAGAACAAGTAATAGAACCTAATCTATGGTTAAATGTGTATAGCGTGAAATGTGTTCAATCTGCTTCTTTTTCTCTTCCTTTTATTTCTTTATTTTTTTTTACATTCAATAAATGTTATTATTGCTTTGACAGGATTATATAGAAACATCAAAGAAACAACCAACGTACATGTAGATTTACTATAGCTACAATCAGAATCAAATCAACTTGTCCTTGAAAGATCTGCTTCTTTTTTATCTACAATGATTCATCTAAAGAAGTTCAAGAGATTTGCTATTACTAGGAGTGCTGACCTTCTGTTCATTGTACATCAGTGTTCGGAGAAGGTTTTTGCCCCCGCACCTTTGGATAACAAATAAATAAAAAACATGGGACTGAGCAGAGACCTTGCAGCATTTGCTGTGTGGCTCCCTGTGGTCCCCGTAGCATGGACAGGTGAATGTAAAACTATGGTGGGGTGCTTAGGAGAAGGGGAAATGGGGGTAATGTAATGGGTAACTATACAAAAAATTCTAGTTATTCTTCTATCCTTCCCTACTCTACCCAAAACAAAAAAAGGTTAAGGCTGCAGATACACTGTAGAACAGTCATGGGTCCCCGTAGTATTACCCTCATAGACCCTTTATGGAGTAAAACAGGCCGCACAGTGGCATGTTCACCCCCAATTGTGCTTCCCATTGAATATATAAACCATTCAGCGTTACATTACCTTGGCCATCTTCACTCTGATAAGAAGTGGCGACATTCTGCTGAAAATGCTTTTTATAGCTTAGGCATGTATAGAAGATGCAACGGCGGGATAATCGATGAATTATCTGAATATATAAATAATTTCTTCTTAGTATAGTGAGTGCATGGTTGTCATGTATTAGATGCTTCAGAGTGTTTTTTTGAAGGACACGGATCTGCACCGGGAAATACAGATTATTAATTAATAAGTCTTGCTGACTGACATGCCTTGCCTGCTTTAATATGCTAATCTTCTGCTTTCCAGTGAGGTACTGTACAAGTATTTATTTATCTACAAACTATAATGTTCATAGGTTCTATTTACTTAGTAAGAAAAGCTCTAAAGGTAAATGGTTACTTTTTTTTAAATGTGTGTAATACACTAAAAACTGAAAACTATGAATGTTGCTATACTGATATTTTTTCTTAAGGGCTCGTTCGCACTAGAATATCATGTGGTAAGCCCACGTTCCATGCCAGTCATTCAAATTACATCTGTGAATCTGCAGTGGATGTCAGTGCAAAGTTAATGACACCCCAAACACAGGTCGCAAATGTAGTATGTTTGCCTGCATCAGATCGCATGGCAGGTCCGGATGTAACCTATATGATCTGGGGGTGCAGTAAAGAAAAGTCAGGGGGGCACAATGTCAACAATGTGTATGAATCGTAAAAAGAGGACAAAGTGAGCGCTAAAAGCAATCAAAGCAGCCAAAGCACCAAAAGGATACCAAATAACCTCTCAAAGCAAAATATATAAATAAGGTGCGGCGCTAAATAATCAACAAATAGCAATGATTATAGTATAAATTATGCCAAGAAAAATAAAATCATAAAATTCATCATAAAAATCATCATAAAAATAAAGTGACTGGTGATAAAGTGCCAAAAATGCATATGAATTCAGTGACTTCCGTGGGTATCACTGTTATAGTCCATCACTGTTAAAGTGACCAGTAGTAGGTATAGGTAATTGTTCCAATGTGAATATGGGAGATCAAATTATCTCCAGTAATAGGAGCTCCATCCAGACAATGGTGAGATGACCGGTGTTAAGAAAAGGCTGTGCCCTCAAAGGATGCACAGTTAATCTGAGCATTTAGAGACAATATTATCTATGGATACACTGAAGGCTCCTGTGTGGATGGATCTTGTCTGGTCAGGTATTCCCCCTCACTGCTCCCTCCTGCTGGTAGTATGGCTCTGTCTCCCCTTTCATACAGCTCTGTGGGTTGTTGATAGCTCAAAGCACACCCCCTATGATTATGTGCGGTTAGCACGAAACGCATAAGGGAGGAGCTACAGTGTCATGACGTCACGCAGGTCCCGGTGGCCATCTTGGAAATCATCTTATGGTCAGTGAATTTGTTTCTTCCCCTGTATAACTGCTTTCTTTGGAATAAATATATATCATAAGCAAAAACGGTATCACGCTATTGGCCTCCTCTTTTCTGGGCTCTTTGTGAGCTATCAACAACCCACAGAGCTGTATGAAAGGGGAGACAGAGCCATACTACCAGCAGGAGGGAGCAGTGAGGGGGAATACCTGACCAGACCAGATTTATCCACACAGGAGCCTTCAGTATATCCATAGGAAATATTGTCTGTAAATGCACAGATTAACTGTGCATCTGGTGAGTGCACAGCCTTTTCTTAACACCGGTCATCTCACCATTGTCTGGATGGAGCACCTATTACTGGAGATAATTTGATCTCCCATATTCACATTGGGACAATTACTCTACCACCTATAAACACTACTGGTCACTTTAACAGTGACGGACTATATGATACCACGGAAGTCACTGAATTCATATGTATTTTTGGCACTTTGTCACCAGTCACTTTGTTTTTATGATGATTTTTATGATGAATTTTATAATTTTATTTTTCTTGGCATAATTTTATACTATAATCATTGCTGTTTGTTGATTATTTAGCGCCGCACCTTATTTATATATAATGTGTATGAGTCACTGACAGTCTGTTACACTGTGTCATGACCTGGGAAACACTAGTATGTATTAACCTGTTATTAGATTAGGATGATTAACAGGTCATGTGACCCCTTATATCAGGTGTCCCCATCAGAGTCCCCTCCTAAATTGGAGTTTACATCAGTCGCCCATTGCATCAAGGTCCCCAAGAGTTCCCCTTTCATCAGGGTCTTCATCAGAATGTCCCCTTACATCAGGCTCCCCACCAGAGTCCCCTTACATCAGGGTTCCTGTTAGAGTGCTTCCTTACAATCAATCTGTTCCCATCAGAGTGCCCCTAACATATGATCAGTTACCCCCTCAGAGTTCCCATTTACATCAGGTATCTGAATCAAAGTGCCCCTTTACATCAGGTATCCCCAGCACAGTGCATTCTTACATTAATTGCCCCCGCAAGACTGGCTCATGGATCAGTGGATACACTGACCTGGGGGGGTTCAGCTAAAATCTGGGGGGAGGCACAGCCTATTCCAGCACCCCCCCCCCCCTTAGATCTGGCCCTTTCGCATTGTGCAAAAGTACCATGTGATGCATTTTTAGTGCGTTTCATGCACTACTTTTGGTGTGGTGTGGTGCAATTTTCTCCCTTTCAAATGAATGGGCTGAAATTGCACTAAAAAAGAACGGCATGTGAATTGCAAAGGGAACACGCAGCACATTCCTGTGTGATTCACATGCAGTTCTTAGTTTGAATGGACCTTTAAAGTTGAAGTTTAGTCATAAAACATATTTTTTTCTACAGCTTTGGTTACATTGCTTAGCTGTAATGAAAAAGTCCCATTATGTGCAGACTGATGGATTCTGTAGAAAGCTTCAGTGCAGGGCTACCCCGTTCTCTTCCAGTTGCTGAACTTCAGGCACGGTTGGGTATAACAGTTTTGGGTCTCAGCTGCACTAAACATGATCTAACAGGGATGCACCCCCTCCTCCCCTCTCCTCCATTAAGAAAAATTATTTCACTGATTACATTGCCTGTAATATGATCTGTGAATGGAGGAGAGAATCCTGTGGCTGATTGGACTCTCCCCTCCCCCCTATTTTCATATTGTGTTAGCAGCAAGAAGAGGACAGGGCAGCCCTGCATTGAAGATTTCTACAGAATCTGGCAGACTGCACATCTTAGGACATACTTCATTACAGGTAAGTAATATAATTAAAGCTGTAGATAAAATTATTTTTTTTTAGCTAAACTACAGCTTTAAAGTGAGTATGTCGCTAAAATAAATATGTAAAACTCTCTGCTGAGTCCAAGCAGTAAAACTCTGTGTTGACTGCAAGCAGACTGAAGTCCTTTGCTGACCTCCAAAATTGAACCATTTTCCTCCCTATTTCGATATTTACAGGTCAGACATGATGTTTTCTCAATTGTATGCCTCAAAAGTGCTCTAACACTCACAAATTTTGAATCTAAATGCAAAAACCGCCCACGCTCAGCAGGACTGATTTCCCTCCTATACAACACTTTAACCTCCAAACAAACACTGAAACCTCTGAAACATATATTTAAATGGAAACGAGATCTACAGATATCTATGAACCATGAGCATTGTGATCAGATCTGGGCCATCATGAAATTTTGTTCACTTAATGTGACAGTTGTCGAAACCAATTACAAAGTACAACTTTGGGGGTACATGGTTCACACCAAATATTAACTATGGGTTTCCCGCACACTGGTTCCTCTGTTCATTTCTGGTGGAACCACACTGTGGTTCAGACATTTTGGTGGTACGTGTACTGCATTTTGCACACTTTTTTCCCAATGAATCCATAGGAAGCCCTTCTCAATTAAAAACCCAAGCAGCTATCAAAATCTTAATTTATCCTGACGACTCATTTCCTTACCGCCAAAAAGCAAGCAATAGAGATGGCCTGGCTGTCTAAACATATCACTGTGACTGAGGTTAAATCTCAAGTTCATTTGACTATGCTTAATGAGAAATGGACAGCTTGGCTTCAGTGCAACATACCCAAATTCCATCGTGTCTAAGAACCATGGATATCTAAAGTATCTGCCACGAGACTTTGACCATTGCCTCCTAGATATGTAATGGCGTCTACCCTAGTATGTTCTGACCAGGGGCGGACTGACCATTTGGAAACTCGGGCACTGCCCGAGGGCCCGGGGTCAGTAGGGGGCCCCATGAGATGCCCCTGGTACCTTTTTCATAGGCTTTTTTGAGTTTGGGCAAGGACACAGGGGCCCCATGATCCCCTATTGCCCGGGGGACCCCATGAGTTGTCAGTCTGCCCCTGGTTCTGACACACAGATTTAGAAGCCCCCTCAAATGACTCTCCCCCACTTCCTCATCCTTCCCTTTCCTCTCCCTACTCACCTCTTCGTTCTCCTCATATCTTTCTAGCTACTACTCATTTTCTTTCTTAAACTAAAGACTCTTCAATTCAGTTGGAAATTCTCCACTTTCATTGACAGTCTTAATGCAAACACACACCCGCTGGCTTTTTACTGGAATATGCACTGTTTTAATTGTGTACATATGCTTTTTGATACGTATGTGCAAACATCAGGATCAATAGCGGTTTTTGTGGCCAATCGTTTCATGTACTGCATTGTGCGTGTTCATTTTTTCTCTCATTTTAAAAAAAAAAAATATTGAATAAGAAAATAAATATGTACAAACTGCACAGAATATTGTTAACATTCACCTCTCCTACTGCCAGCATTGAAGATCTTCACTGTAATGAAAAGAAACTGCCGCCCATATAATTTTTAAAATGTGACACTTGGGAGAGTGTCAGATATTTTGTTCCCAGCTGTACTCAATGGTTTGATCTGCTGGCCCCTATTTTACTACAGTGTCCTGCAGTGCAAGCTCTGAGCCTGTCATTGTGATTCCAGCTTCCCCAACTGGCGAGTCAGCGGTGCGCTGAAATGAACACACAAAACAAGAGTTGAAGTGGCCATTGCATCAAAATGCAAGACTCCCCTATTTGTTAGGGGCCCTCCATATGTAAAAACTAATTTGAGGAGGGGTGTCTAACTAATAGGAGGACTTATTTGTTATGCAAGTGTAGCGTTTACCCCTGAAGGAGCCGTTGGATGTGATGGGTTCTCTGTTCTGCCCACAACTGCTTAAGCTGTCTCCACTAGCAAACCTGGTTGTAAGTACCAATTCACGCTGACTTGCTCTAAAATATATGGAAAAGGCATGTATATTTCCATCCATTTTAGTCACATTTTAACGCGCGCTGATGTTTGTTGACATACATTTTTATGTCCGTTGACATACATTTTGACATCAGTTAGTATGCTACCAGTACACAGAATATAGGCCAAAGCATCTGGTTGGTAGATTAAAAGGATTTATGATGGCAAGGCATATAAACAATGTATGAATCAGTAAATAGGCAACTGAGCACGTTTCAGCATGCTGTACTAGATAATGTAGACACAGTCCCATAAGATAGCAATCAACTGAACTGTAGTAATGCTAAACCAAATTTTAACTAATGTAAACAGGGTTAAAGGTATCGACATTAACTACCCCCCAAAAAAAGATGTCCTCTTGTGCACACTAAGCATATAGCTCCAATAGTGGGTGAGTGTATGCATTCCTGATGAAGGGGTACCTTTGGTTGTGGCTACAAGTACCTGGCACATAATTGGTATGCAATGGACCTGGTCTAATATGCTGGGTGGTCAATTGTCCCAGAAGTATCAGTCTTCACAATCAGGTCCTCACACTGATGTAGGCATACACAGCAACAGGTCTCACTAGCTCTCGGCTCAAATGAAGTGGGACTGATTTACTAAAACTGGAGACTACAAAATATGGGTGCAACTGTGCATGGTATCCAATTAGCTTCTAAATTCAGCTTCTTCAGTTAAGCTTTGACCAAAAAAAACTGGAAGCTGATTGGCTTCTCTGCAGAGCTGCACCAGAGTTTGCACTCTCCAGTTTTAGTAAATCAAACTCATTGACTCTGTGGTTCAGTCCTTGGCTCAGTTCTACATGCTTTCCAGTCACACAGAACACCATAATGGCAACCCAGATTACATGCAGGCTCTAGTCACTGTTGTAGTGTACAGACCCCCAGCAGCAGGTCTGCACTCTCTGGCTCCCCGCACTAGACTGCCCAGACCTCCAGCAAATTGCCTGGAAAAGTTTGGTCTCTCCTCTTCTGTTGTGCAGCAAATACTGGGTATTGATGTCTGCAGCCTACTGCAGCCTATACATTTGCATTATGCAGTGCTTCTAAGGGAACTACATATCCCATGATCCTCCTCCATCCTCCCCTGATTGGTTTATTGCTGATGTTACAAGGAGGAAAGGGGTGAAAGGAGCCAGGGATTTCACACACAGCTGCTCAGTCAGCACAGCAGCAGCTGTGAGATTCTGATTCTGACTCTCAGCACAACCCACTCCTCCATACAGCAACACACACAGCAGGGGTGGATTTGCAGGCAAGGGCATCACAAAACACACAGCTGATAGGCAGCACCCAGCCACAAACTCCCCCAACCAAAGGAGAGACCAAATCCAATAACAGATAAATGTCCATAACCTGATACATAGCTGAAACAATTGGAGGCAAATTTAGCTTAGTAATCATATGAAACTAAACAATTAGCACTTAAACAGGAACCTGGCAAAGGAACCTCCCACCATTTGTCAGAAGGAGGGGGGTTGACTTGACCATAGACCACCAATATTGGTAAGGTCCACCAAGTTGTGTTAGGGGGTGAGCTAGAGTCACCCTTCATTGAAACTATAGCAGGGAAGGTTGGTGTTTATGGAGCTGTTTGGGTGGTATGGATGGCTTCTTCAGAATTCTCATCCATAACATCATAGACCAGTCTATTAGGAGGACAGATGGCCATCTTTGGCATTCTTTTGGCTTGGATGACCCCTTTCCAGCAGATTCTTCATCTAGTGCTGGGGGTGATTGGACTGTCCCTATGTCTGGAACACATGGTGAAGTTGGAGAGTCTTTCTGACTCTCTGAGGGATGACCCTGAGGTATAAACTTTGGGGCCTAAGGCCTGAAAGTACTAGTGTTGTTCTCTGCAAGGGAAGGGTGTGACATCTGTACGTGAAGATGGCCACAGCCAGTAAATACAAGCATCTTACTCCTCACTGCTTTCTCCCACACCTTCACCTGGAGGAAGTTGCAGCCTAGTGACTAGAAGTAGATGATTCCAGTGTCAAGTCTTCAAAGGTCTTGTCCTCCCATCAGGACAGATTTGGTATACAGGAAGGCCAGGCAATTGTTTGCAGATGATATGTTGCTGGGAACTCCACCAGTCAGCTATCTTCTGTTTTACAGAGGGTCCCAGGTTTCTCAGCAACACTTTGTCTCACAGCTAAAGATCATAAACCCTAACTCTCAAGTTGTAATGTTTCTTGTTTCACTGGAAACAAGTTCATGTTCATCCATGGAGATGTCAAAGGCCAAATCCACTGGCAGGCCAGCTTCCCTCCCAAACGTGAGTCTTTAAGTAGTGAGTATCCATTTGCATTATTCTCTGTACTATTGTAAGCATGTACCACAGCGGAGATGTGCCTGCTCCAATGTTGCTTTCTTTCTGCAGAAAGGGTCGCCAACAAGTCAAGGAAAGTTTGATTGAACCTCTATAACTGTGGATCCCCTTGAGTTTAATAAGTTTAATGTTCTTCTTGGTTTCTGGATGCCCAACATGTCAAGGAATTGAATTTACTTTCAAAGTCTCTTTCTAGATTGGAATGGATTCTCTGAAGCAGTCCATAATGAACAAAGAACTTCTCCACTAAGACCTTGACTGCTGTGGATGCTCATTGGTCATTTGTTGGGAACGCTTGGGCATAATGGGTGAAATAGTGTGTTACCATCGGGAAATTTGCTTGAAACTCAAGTCAGTTTCTAGGCATAAAATGTCAATGCACACCAACTCTATAGGCCCTTGGCTTACAGTAGAAGGTGGACCATTGGGGCAGCTCTCGAAGGCTGAAACTTTTTTTGAATGCAACATAAGCAGGAATGAGTGTAGCTCTCAACTTTAGCGTCCATGCAAGGTCAGTAGAAGCAGTCTCACACTAATCTGAAAGTCCTTTCAGGCATTAAGTGGCCACAATAATCATGAAGGGCAGTAAGCACTGTTTCTGTATGCTTCTCCATCAGTAACAGTTCCACTTGTCTTCAAGATCGTCCGAGAGGCCCCTTTGGCAGACTTCCCCATCATGTAGCTGCAACCAAGAGACTAAGATTCTTACTGGAGGGGTTGGAATTGCATAATGTGCAGTGACTAGCTGTCCATTACACATAAAAAGAGGGTAAGGTTCTTATTAGAGGGGTTGGGATTACATAACATGCAGTGGCTAGCTGTCCATTACAAACAATAGGAGGGTAAGATTCTTAGTAGAGGGGTTGGAATTGCATAATGTGCAGTGGCTAGATGTCCATTACACATAATAAAAAGGTAAGGTTCTTATTAGAGTGCTGTGAATTGCATAATGTTCAGTGGCTAGCTGTTCATTACACATAAAGAAGAGGATAAGGCTCTTGGAAGAGGGGTTGGGATTGCATAATGTGCAGTAGCTAGATGTCTACACACAACAACAAGGTAAGATTTTTTATCACAGTGCTTTGGATTGCATAATGTGCAGTGGCTAGTTGTCCATTACACGCATAAGCAGGGGCAGAGACATGGTTTTGTTTCCCAGTACAGCTGAAAACGTATAGTATTTGTCATTTTTATTACAAATTAGTGTCTTCTCAGCACAATGCACATTACATATTTCAGCAAAGAACATTTTTGCGGTTGATTTGCCTTTGCATTTCTATACATTGACTGCTGTATCCCCCCATACTTTCTGTATTATGCCTATCATTACACTGCGGTGCCTATTATGCTGTTCTGCATATTATTACCTCCATTGGTCTATCAATTGCTTTGCATATTTCTCAGTTCTGCATATCATTACATTGCTATGCACAGCTGCTGCTCTTTTTGTCACCCCCCCCCCCCTTCTTTTCCCAGTCCTGGCTATCAGTAAACCACAGTGTGTTGTTAATATATATGTATGTAGATAGATCCTTCTGTATTTCATTACAATGCTTGGCACATTATTACATCCCGTACAAGTTGTTGGAATGTTATGCGCTTTCCAGCGTTGCTTTGCCTGCCATGTATCTCCGGACGCTGAGACATCCTGTTACATGTCTTGACATCTTCCCTTTGTGTGCATGGCTTTACATTTCACGACGTGTCATAATATCTCTCTGCAGATTATTACA